TTTTTTTACATTTATTTATTCTGTGTGCAGGGGTCGAGCCTGCTGTGGCACATGTGTGGAAATGAGAGGACAGTTCTCTGGAGCTGGTTCTCTCCTTCCACTCCAAGTTTCCAAAGAGTGAACACAGGACATCAGGCTTGGTGGCAAGTGACTTTTCCCGCTGAGTCACCATCCCGAATTTTTTCATTTTTACTTTTTTTAAAAAATTTGCTTACTTTTTACATTATGTGCATTGGTGTTTTGCTATGGGTCTTGGAACCCTTGGAACTAGTTACAGACAGTTGTGAGCTGCCATGTGGGTGCTGGAAATTAAACAGGTCCCCTACAAGAGCAGTCAGTGCTCTTAACTGCTGAGCCATCTCTCCAGCTCCCCGCCCCCCCAGTTTTATTTTTAACTAGTTCACTGGGTTAGTGGTGACCCCATGCACATGGGTGTGGGAAACTTACAGGAGCATGGTCACCTTACCAGCAGCCTCATACTCAAAGAAAAAAAAAAGACTTTTCTCCCCCAGCAGCCATTAGCTGCCAGTGACTCCCTAGCTGGGGTGGGGGGGAGGCATCATGGACCCTCCCCCATCTAAACCGAAATGCTGGTTGACTTGCTTTTGTGCAGGCAACCGAAGTTGCTGTGAGATCATGAATACAGCAGTCACCTCACACCCAGAAGACAATATTTCATAGCGCTTTTCCCATCCTCCAGCTCTCACATGCTTTCTGACTCCTTCTGAAGTATTTCCTGAGCCTTGTTTGTGCGTGTTGTTTAGAGGGGCTCCTTTAAGGCTAGACATGGAGAAGCCAGCAATGCTGAGCAAGTTGGGCAGTCGTATAATCTCTGCTTTAACAGCCTCCCCTGCAAAAAGAAGCTTTAACCAAGGGTGAGAGCAGTACTAGAAGCATAAATATCTAAAAAGTAGTTTGATAGTATTGTCACTGTTAGGTCAAAAGGCCCTTCTTCCTCCAGCTACTCCTCATAATCCAAACGATTTGTCCACCCCTTGCTCTCTGGAGACATCTTGTTGCTCTCTCTCTCTCTCTCTCTCTCTCTGCCTTTGTTGTATGTAATCTCTTGCTATCTCCACTACTTTCCCCAGCTCTCTTGCTTTTTTAGCTCCGGCCATGCCCAGTCTGCTTTCTTTCCTCTCTGCTCTAGACTCTTCTAGATGCCTCTGTATTTTCTCTTTCTCTTACCCACAATAAAAACCTTCCCCCTAATGGAGCAGCCATATCAACAGTTTCTTTACTGTGACCTTCACATACAATCACTTAACAAAAATAACAACCAACAGTAGTGGGTCTCTCCCCCCCCCCCCCAGGAAAGCATGACCCCCTAGCTGTGGGCTTTTGACCAGGCTTAAAGTACCAGGTATTAATTTTTTATTTTGGAACACGTCTCAAATCCAATCATAAAATGGTTGCTTACCCTATAGCAGCTGCCCCATGTTCTCACCCGTAGGCACGTCCTGCCTGGCAGGTCTGCTCAATAGCGTGCAGACACCTCTGCTGGGTAAGAGCACTGGTGATTCCCCTCCAAAGAGGCCTGCATAGCTTCTTCCAACGCTGTGAAGAGTGAGGTGCTTTTGCCCTTCATCCCTTGTGCCATGAGGATGCAGTGTCCCTCGCTTACAGAGGGAGTAGCATTTGAATTGCCCTCTTAGAAGCAGAGACTGGATCCTCAACTAGACGAAATCTGCCGGCACCTTGATATTAGACCTCCCAGCCAGATACGTGGGACATAATTTTCTATTCTTTGAGAATTTCCCAGTGTGCAGTACTTTGTCATAGCAAGATGAACAGACACATATGCCTAAAGTTTGGGATGTTTTCGGCAGAGGCTCTACAGAGGGCGCTGAGAGGGAGCGGGAGGAAATAGAGGATCACCGGGTTGGGAATAAGGATCCTAAAAATTGCAGGAGAAGCGTGACTGATTAGGGCGAGGGAAAGTTACTTCCTATTCTGATCGCCTTCACTCACCATCTGAATTCCGAAGTTTCTTTCTGACCCTGGCTTAGTTCGGCTGTGCTTTGGATTTATGGTCATATGCCCTGCCTCCCTGCTGCGTTTTCATTTCTGTTTTTCTTTAGCTTCAAGTAGTCATGCACTTGCGTGAGTTTCCTGTGGGGTGCTCTCCAGAACACATCTGCATGCTCTGTGGGTTAGCAAGACGATGTTGAGAAGGTCCAGGTCTTGCCAGTGTGTTAGGTGTTGTCTCGCTCCTCTGTCACTTCAGACACGTGAGGGGGCTGGACAGATGGCTCAGTGGTTAAAATCACTACTGTTCGGCTCCCAGCACCCATGTCAGGTGGCTCACAGCTGCCTGCCACTCTACCTCCTGGGGAATCCAGCGCCTCTATTATCTGCTGGCACCTGCATGCACATGTACACATTCGCACACACACACAATTCAAATACTTTTTTGCGCTGGTGAAATGGCTTAGCAGATAAAGACACCTGCTGATAAAGCAGAGTCACCTAAGTTCAGTCCTGGAAACCCACATGGTAGAAGAAGAGAACCAACTCCAGAGAGTTATCTTTTAACCTCCACATGTGCACTGTGGCACATATGTGCCTGCACTCACACACACATACATATGTGTGTTACACACATATATACATATTTATATATGTTATATACACACACATATATAAAATGAATGGATGAATAAACAAAATCCTTAATAAAGACTGCAATAAGGGGGATTGATGTTCTGAATGGAAGTTTGGGCAAAACAGTTTCTTTAAATTCAGGCTCCCTAGATTTTCTACAAGTCTTTATTTATTTATTTTGTTTAGCTTGGGGACTTTCTGGAATCAGAAGCATTAAATATAACTGATCTTAGAATATATTAAAAATAGAAGAGAAAGATACCGCTGCTTAATGTGCAACCTAACCATCCCCAATACTAAAACTTTATGTTCGCCCGTAAAACTTCTCTCTGTGGACGAAAACAACTGAGCATCCTATCAAAGCAAAGGAACTCACTAAAGAGTAAAGGTATCCCTTGCCGGCAGAAGAGAAGACGTTTGATAGCCCCCTATTCCTCCTGGCCATTTCTGTGATGAAAGTTTCATGATACATTTGTCCCTAGTTAAATCCTGTGGTGGCTGAAATACACAGTGGCAGTCCCTGGCAGCCAGCTGAGGGATATCGAGTGGCAGGGTACCCAAGTGGACCTCATGATTTAAGATGTCTGTTTCTGGAGTTTCTAGTTTTTGTTTGTTTGTTTGTTTGTTTGTTTGTTTTTGTGAAATGATGAGACAGAAATGGAGAGCAATATAAAGAGGGAAGGAAAGTGGGAGGCTGCGAAGCTGGTGTCCAGGCTTGTGTGCATCTGTAACCCAAATAGACAGCGATAGTGTTCCCAAACCCTGTCAGTGCACAGTGCACTCTGCAGTGAACCCCACATGTGCTAACATCAAAATGCTGTTCATATTTGAAATGCATTTGATAGAGGCATATCTCTGGACAGCTAGGTTTTTTTAAACAATAGTTTATTAATCTTGGAGAGTTTTGCAGAACTTACAATGTGTTTCCATCATGTATCCCCACTCCTTCCCCAACCCCAGATCTACCTTCTACCTTCTCCTCCTCTCCCAACTTCATGTCCTCTTGTTTTGTTGTTTGTTTGTTTGTTTTAAGAGCCTGTCAGCTCCAGTTTGTGCTGCTTATACACTGTGTGTCCATCCTCTGAAGCATGCTACCAGGAGCCACATCTTTAAAGGGAAGGGACTCTCCCTCCTCCAGAAACCATCAACTGTCAATGCCATGTTCAGAAGACACTGTTTTGTCTATGTCCTCCCTGACCTCTGGCTCTTAACAATCTTTCTGCACCTCCCCCTGCCCCCAGCCCATCCTCTATGTCCCTAAGCCTTGAGGTGAAGGAGTCTGATACAGATGTTCCATTTATACCCAAACACGCCAGACTCTTATTCTCTGTCCTTTGGCCAGTTGTGAGTTTCTATGATGCCCCCCCCCACACACACACAAAGAAACTTCTCTGATGATGCCAGAGCATTCCAGACTTCAGCTACAGACATACAAATTCAGATGGAAGTTTGCTACCTCACCTGCTTCTCAAAGTAGTCGTGGTAGGTTCACGTGTTTCGTGATGTGGACGATGATAGGCGAGCCACTTCTAAAATCTTCTGTCTCGCCACACACATGCATGGTCTCTCACATACACTCACACATACACATGCACGCACACACACACACACTCACGTTGTTATGACTTTCATTTCTTTACACGGAGTCAATTCAAACTGGTTGATTTTTCTCTTCGTTCTTGGTCCTGCTTCTTTGTGTGCCTGATAGTTTTTCTTCTGCAATTCAGAGATTATGAGTTTTTACCTTTTTGGGTGCCAGATATTTTTGTATTCCTACATATAAATTTCCCCTCTTTTATGGGAGTTCTGAGATTGAACCTAGGGTCTCAAACACGCTAAGCACAACTCCAGCCCAGCCCCCTGTCTATGTGTTTTTGGACTTTTAAAATAAAAGGCAGATAACTCACTTGACAAAATCTGAGCCTTTCTGGTTTTGTATTTAGTCTCTTCTTAGGCAAGACTTAGAATTTTAACCAGATGAAGACTTTTGCCCCACTATGAAGAAAACTGTCTCTGGGCACTCTACAAAGTGCTCTTGTCCTTGAGCGCCCCCACTGGCTGGAGGAAAGGAGTGTCAGAGCCCTGAGGGCTCTCTGTGGCTTATTTCCTCTGGTCCTTCCAGGCTGCTTCTCCCAGTCTCAAGTAGTTTCCTCAACCATGTGCACCAATCAGGGCTCAGGTAAAGACAAAGGGAGCCAGACGTGGTGACACACACGCGCCCTATCAAGCTGAGACAAGAGGATGATGAATTTGAGGCTACCCTGCACTACATAGAAAACACGTTTTAAAGGAATAATAAACACCACCATCTCCACCGCCACCACCAAACCCAAACAAACAAGAGACAGACAGAGTGGCTCCTCAGTGTGTCTGTTAAGTTCTCTGGGCAATTGTCTCTTCTTCTCCTGCCGACAGCCTGGTCATTCAGGAAGCCCTGCTCTTCCCAACTCACGGAGAACTTTGTGTAGGAGCTAGGCTCTCCAGGGAGTGGACGGAGATAACGGTGAGGCTTATCTTGGAGGTTTCCCCTTTCAGGATCACTTCCCTTCATTGACTTAGGTCTTCTGTTTTGAAGACCATTGTCTCTCCTGTATTTTGCCTTTGTTGTTATTACCCAGGCACAGAGTAGAATAGATCCCTGTTACAGTGCCCTGGCCATGGCAGATTCTAATTCTCAGCCATTTTTTTATTTTATTATTTTAGGTCTGTGTGTTTGTGTTGGGGGTGGGGGTATGTACAAGTGAGTGCAGGGCTGCAGAGGCTAGAAGAGGGCATCTGATCCCCTGGAGCTGGAGTTACAGGCACTTATGAACTGCTCAACCTGGGTCCTGGGAACCGAACTCTCGTCCTTTGGAAGAACAGGCTTAACCACCAAGCCATCTCCAGCCCATTTCTCAGGAATTTTAACCATTTGTTGACTGTGTAAATGAAAGGTGGTTCTGACTTTGATGGATCCATTGCTTAACAGTTTGCTTACTATCCACGTGACGGGAGCTTATTAAATGATTATAGATGACAATTGTTCTATCTCTTGAAAAGCACGATCAAGGGAGCACAGCAGCTCCTGAGGACTAAGGAACCATTTGACTATTTTGTCAAGACATCTTGTGTTAAGAAATAAATTAATTAATAAGTCTGTATTTTTTTCTGTCCTTCTATTTCTCTGCTAAAGATTTCAAATTCTGAACTTGGCTGGTCCCCTTAGTCTGGATGTTCTCGTTGTAGCCTGAGAACGGCAAGACGCCTTGGATGACAGTCCCATCAAGGCGGATCTGTGGCAAGAAGATAAAACTCTATAAGGGAGCAGGGCTGCTATTTCCAAAGAAGGAAGAGGAACAGTGCAGTTGGACAAGGGTCTCCTGCTGCAGGCACTCGGGAAGCTGGCGCTAGACTGTTTTAGTATGAAGCTTTTATTGCCTGTGGCACCACAGAGAGGTAAGTACACTGTTGCTCACTGTCCACGGGGAACTAAGCTGCGTCTGATGAGACACGGCTCCAATGCCTGCTATTTCCTCCTGGTCTCAGAGCTTCCCTGTTACATACACTGGACTCTGTCCTGAACCTCTGAAACTGTTCTCATACACAATGTATTTTAATACTAGGGTGGTTACCAGACAGGGCAAGCTTGGAGGCCTCTGGCTGGGAACCAGGCCAGGTTGGTAGGTTGGGCAAAGCACATGATGAGAAGGTAAGAGGTTATGAGGGCGAAGGTTGAGAAACAAGAGTTGAAAAAGTGTAGTGCGTGTAAGTGCAAGTGTGTGTGTTGGAACCCAGAGGGCATAATTCATTTTTAGGTTTAGGTTTCTGGTAGCACATTGCTACCTGATACACATAGGTGGAAACTGAGACTAAGCCCATAAGTGCATCGAGCCTGGGGACCTACTTAGAGACCCTCACAAGATGGGTGTCACATCCTGCTCTGGACCTCACACACAGGAGACACATTAGCTCCGTGACGCCTGGTGAACTTTGAGGTTGCATTGCTAGCTTTCGTGTGGCTGGTGATTACAGCGCCAATCTGTGGGAAGCGCCCCTCTCCGGTGCCCGTTTCCATTCACATTTTTGTGTTAGAACACCTAGATGCCATGGTGTTATTTGTAGACTCGCATGGCAAATTGATACAGTGAAACATAGAATTTTTGGCGTAACCAGATTCATTCCCATGCACCTCTGCCATAGTACGAGGGATTTCAGAAAAAAAATCATAAGATCACAAACAGAAGATTATGTAATAGCTTTTTGTTTTGTGAAAATGCCATAAAAGAAAACGAATTGTCTTTTGGTTCTTCATCTGTGTGGGGAGACTCTGAAATGCCTCAGTGGACCCCACCTTCTCTTTCATAACAAACACTTCTTATTAAAAATGTAAGGCATTTATGTATTGTGTTATCAGTTGGCAAGACACACCCACACTCCACCTCTTACACTGTGTGGCTCCACAGGCCACTCAAAGGCCCTTCAGGGAAGGCCTCGCTGCTGTGCCTTCTGACAGCTCTGCTCTGCCTAGCTCCAGTCCACTTAGGCTGCTGAGCTGAGGACTACAGAGCGGCTCCAGCCAATGACTGACCGGGTCGAAGGCCCAGCCATCTCTGCCTGTCTTGGAGCTGTTTCGGTGATGGGTCTCAGCTGTGTACTCCTGCTGAGCAGACAGGAACTTTGACAGATCTTCTTAGACAGTCCTCTCCCCTCTTCTCCTTCTAGGTGTTCCTCCCCATGAGTCTTTGTTCTCCTAACTTCATCCCACACCTGCTTCTGACTCAGCTAACCAGGGGGTATGACGGCAAGGATGCGGTTTGATGTCAGCGGATGAAGACAGAGTATGCAGTCTCCCAGCCGTCTGTGTCGCCTCCCTTCCAGGACCGGTGTTCTGACTCAGTATCGGGAGCCAGTTTGTCTGTTGCTAGACTTTGGATAAATACCACTTCAGGATTATCCTTGTGTCTGATTTTTTATTTAAGAATGGACATCCTTTCATATTCCTTTGAGGTGGTGGTGTGAATTCTCAGGTAAACGATCACGTTTAAAATGATTGTTTTTGATTTTATATATATGTGTGTGTGTGTGTGTGTGTGTGTGTGTGCTTGTGTACGTGAGCGTCAGTGCCCGAGGAGGTCTGAGGCTTTGAGGTCCTCTGGAGCTGGACTTACAGGTCTCCTGATGTGGGTGCTGAGAACCGAACTCTGGTCCTCTGCAACCCTTAAATTATCTCTTACCCTCTAAGCCACGTCTCCAGCCTTGCTTACCACCTTTCCATCTTTCTATCCCGAGATTCTGTCTCTGAGGATCCTTCTGCTTCTCACATAAGCACACCCGGTGCATGCCCAGGATGACAGAATGAATCTTCTTCAGCTTAATTTTCAATACAACGTAGGACCGAGATATAATCATAAAATTACATAGACTTGTCCTCACATTAACAGCTAAGGCTAGGACAGGCTGCCGTCGTTGCTGCTTCTCTTTGTCTCAGGCTTGCCACGGTTCACTACTTTAACTGCCGCTAGATCTGAGTCTCCAGGGACAGATCAACCTTTAAGGCTGCTGCCGAGGACGGGGACGGTTTCAGACGACCCCCGATGGATCGTCGATACCACCACCTGTGCTAAGTGGATCTTTCCAGCGTTTTAGTTAAATCAATTCCCCAGCCCTAGAGAAATGTACATCTTATCACACACCCCCATTCAAAGTTTTTCTTCACCCATTAACTGCTTTATAGTTCATTGGCATATAGAAAAACTCCCATTTCTTAAGCTCCCAATAGCCGGTAACTCACTCATTAACTGTATTGTTCCAGATTTCTGTCTTGATTTTTACTCTCCTATCCAACTTAAGAGAACACTTCAAAATAATAAATGGAAACCTGAAGGCCTTTCCATTACCTCCAGACATTGGCAAGTCTTGTTAACAGCCCTGGCGAGAGGACTCTTTATTTATAGCTCTAGTGATGCTGTCCATCTTTGAGAACAATTTTGAAAAGCTAACTTCCACTTCTCCTAGAGGCAGACCTGCTTTACTGGAGATGGCTGTGCTGTCTGCAGTATATGACTTTATTTCAAATGCTGGAAGCCAAAATATTGGTTCAGAATAGTTAGCCTTTTCTTCCTTCTCCTGAAAGCCCTTCAGTCATGGGGGAAGGTCAACGACATCAGGATCCTCGTACCTTCAAATGTCATTTTTCCCCTTTCAATGCAAGGATGTGTCCATACCATCGACTGGCTTGTCGGCTGTCTCAGTCTGGGGTAGGAGGAGGGGATCGAACGCCATGCTGTTCTCTGTTAAGAAATGTGAATGAGTTACATAAATGGATTTATATCAAAGACTTTTCATACTTATGTATTTCAAAATCTAAATGGTATTAATTTTCCCCTCAAATATCCTAAAAGTGTTTTTGTGGTTGATATTTTAGAGTGGAGGCGATGAGAAAGAATATTATTTGTTAATCTGGGTGAATGTTTTTGAGGCCTGGTCTGAAAACCACAGTGAAGTTTTGTAGCCTAGAGTGGAGTTTTATTTAATTAAATGTGCTTAAAATATGGACCAACTGTTCAAGAACGTTAAAATGAACGCCCCTCAGCACATCTTCATGGATGGAAAAGCCAGGGCGATGGATGAGCTGGGAAGAGATTTCCCAGTTCCCCCACCTGGTAGATCTGTGGTTTTTACTCTACCCTAATTTCCTGCGCTCTGGGTAGCCTGGACTATTGATTTTCACAGACCATCAACGAACTGACCTGTAATTTACCCATCACCAGAGAAGAAGCCATCGCCCACAAAGGGACACTTCATTTCCCTCAGCATCCCATCCATCTTAGTGAGTTTCCATTTTCGTATCCACTCATTTAAAAACCCACCCAACCAACATCCGCTGGAGGACCACGAGTCTCCGCAGCCTTCAGGGAGTGCAGTCCCGGGAGGAGACGGTGGCAGCACATGGGGAGAAGGCAAAGCTAGAGGGAGGCACCTTTGGCCCACAGCAGAAGGAGGCTGGCCAAGAGAATAGGGCTCCCTCTGCCAGGAGACAGTGCCCTACCCAGCTGCCACGCCCCTGAGAGTGTAAGCCAGTGTGGTGTTAGGTACCACAGGAGGGAAGGAAAACTAAGACATTCTCTGAAAATAGATCTTATTTTGGACAGAGAACTTGATTAATGGTTTGAAATCCTCAGGAGGTTCTAGTGGAACAAATACCCAAAGGGAAGAGTGGGCATGCAAGGTCCCTTCCTGCCTCTGCCATGACCTTTGGAGAACCCCAATAAGTTACAGAAACTCTCCCACCCCCAGGTTCTTCAGTTGTTAAGTCCTGGGTGGGGCCTGATACAGTTTCAGAGGAGCCTGCAGGTCTAGGAAGCTTCATGTACTGTCAACTATACAAGAATTCTACTGTCTAAAGTTCTGAATTCTAGTTCCCCTCAATCAGAGCTGGGTTGAGAGTTAATAGAGCTAAGTTAGGGAGGCACTAGCAGCTCACACTTCCCTGTGAATTCTTTTCTTTTTCTAAAGAGAATATTTATAATTTGTTGTGTTCCAAGCATTGCATTCAGTCACTTATATAATATTGAAGGCTGTATATTATTTTATTCTCCTCATTTTAAAAGGTAGAGAACTGGGGGGGCTGGAGAGATGGTTCGGAAGTTAAGAGCGCTGACTGTTTTTCCAGTGGTCTTGAGTTCAATTCCCAGCAACCTCATGGTGGCTCACAACCATCTGTAATGAGTTCTGGTGCCCTCTCCTGTCATCCAGGCAAACACACAGACAGAACACTGTGTACATAATAAATAAATAAATCTTTTTTAAAAATGGGAGAACTGGGGCCTGCAGCATTTGAGATATTTGTCCTTCCTGTCATACATGGGAAGCAGCGGTGCTGGGCGGGACTTTACTGTATATGAAGCCAAAACCTAACTTCTGCCCGTTATGCCGATTCAAAGCGCATTCCTATTAGACAATTTCTTACTGAACAGGGAACTGCATCTCTCTGGAGAGTCCTCAGGATCGTCTCTGCTCACCGCCAAGCTCCTTGTTCATTTGTTTGCTGGCTCCTCCTCCATCTTTGCTTTTGAAACAGTTGGTACCTAGGAGTTGAAGCCTGGCTTGTTGGATAAAAGGAGAACTGGGGAAGAGAGCTGACTAATTTCTTAGAGACACCGAGTGCCTTTTCCTCTTGTCTAGAAACGGTGGAAATGACCTCTCAGAAGCCTTACTATTGCACGCGTATTCAGTAGGAGAGTTACGTGGTAACGCCTTGCAGGCCACAGCAATCTTCTTAAACAAGTTCAAGAAGGAAGAGTCTTATGGATAACATGGAATCTCAAGGCTAGAGCACAAGTGCGCCGGACTTCACAAGGGCAGGAACCAAAGGCATTTCTGGCTCTAATGCAGCTTTAATGGCCCAGGGCTAGAAGTTTAGGAACCCTTATCCTAGAGTTCCAACTGGCTGTCTGATTCAGAAGTCAGGGTACCTTTTCTTTTACCAGATCAATATGCTAATAATTATTTTCCTCTACTTTACCCTTTGAGCAAGTTAGTAGTTTTTGTTCTGTTTTTGCTTAGTCGTAATTTAATCTTGGTAAGATCCCTCACAGCCTCTACTCCTCTTCCTCCTAACTCTAATGCAACTGTCCCTCTCTCCCTTCTCCCCTCCTCCACCCCACATTTGGTCTTTGCCTTCTGAGACCAAGTTTCCTGTATAGGCCAGGGATGCCCTGGAACCCACTGTGTAGCACTGGCTGCCCTCAGTCTTGGAATTCTGCCTCAGCCTCTCATTTGCTGGGATTACAGCTGCATTCCTCCTGATTTCTCTTTATATACATTACATCGCCATTCCTTATGCTAACTACCTCTATGAGTTCATGTTTCCCAAATAAAATCCCCAAGGAACTGTCCCAGATCTTGTTTTATGTGAAAGCATGAATCGTCCTAGTGTTCAGATCAAAGTGGATACACAATACAGTGTGGACATGATTTATGACATGGACAGGAATGGAAATATGGGTTGAGCCATCACCAGGGGAGCCATTGGTTGCATTTAGAAAGGTATGGGGATCATAATCGATCTAGTTTTTATGACTAATATTGATCTATCTGGAACAGCTTTTCCCTCCACCAAATCTGCTGGTCAATAACTCTCCTGAGTGTGTATTTGAGGTGCTAGTTAGTGAGGTGCTAGATAGTGAGGTGCTAGTTAGTGAGGTGCTAGTTAGTGAGGTGCTAGTTAGTGAGGTGCTAGTTAGTGAGGTGCTAGTTAGTGAGGTGCTAGTTAGTGANTTTGGTTTTATTTCCTTCCTTAGGTGTTATAATTCCATGACCCTGAAATCTGTCTTGTAAAGGTGCTTGGGCATTTCAGGAGGGAGAACCTGTTTCTAGGCTTTACTGATATTTTTGCAGGGATGGGTCTTAGCTGGGGTCACCCTTGTGGATTCCTGGGAATTTCTCTAGAGCCTGGTTTCTGCTAACTCTATAAAGGCTACCTCAATCAAGATATCTCTTTCCTTGCTCTCATCTTTGTCCTTCCTCCATCTTGGCTATCCCATTCCCTCTTCAACCTATATAATTTCCCCTCCCCTTCCCCTTCATCCTTCTCCCAAGATCCCAAGTGCTCCCAATTTTGCTCAGGAGGTCTTGTCTATTTCTACTTCCCATGTAGAATAGATCCATGTATGTCTCTCTTAGGATCCTCATTGTTGTCTAGGTTCCCTGGGATTGTGATTTGTGGGCTGGTTTTCTTTGTTTTATGTTTAAAAACCACTTATGCGTGAGTGCATATGATAATTATCTTTCTGTGCCTGGGTTACCTCACTCAAAATGATGTTTTCTAGCGCCACCCATTTGCCTGCAACGTTCAAGATGTCGTT